CAACAGTGGCCAATGTGCCACTTAATAAGAATGATAGCCCTTCCTTCTTTCTGAGAAGCCACATTCCTCCTATTCTCAAAATGCCCCCTTAATGCTAATAGTCTTGGTGATCACAATGGCTCACATGAAATGCCATTCTAGTTCAAGTGCTTAAATATTATTCTAGCTGTTATTTTTTTTCTCTTTTGTTTCATGCAATTGAAATGTACCATGGCCATTACTGCAGAGCCTTGTATTGTATTGCATATTCCCACGTGTATTCCCAACCACTCCCATGGCCACCCTTCCATGAGCCTGCCTCTGGTTTGCAGGGAGAATTGATATCAGCTACTCTCCTCTCCTTATGTCCCTTCCATAGCTTTTTTGTGAAACTCCCCTGCATGTCTCAGGGTTCTCTAAAGAGAAATGTCTAGGATATAGAGAGCAACAGGAGGAGATTTAAGAGGAATTGGCTCACAAGATTATAGAGGCTAGAGAAGTCCTACATGCTTGAGATGCAGGGAGGCCAGCAGAGTTATTCAGTCTGAATCTAAAGGTCTGAGAACCAGGAAGATGACAGGGTAGATTCCAAAGTCCAAAGGCCCAACACCCAGGAGCTCTAATGTCTGAAGGCAAGGCAGAATGGTTATCACAGCTCAAAGTGAGAAATTCATCCTTACTCTGCCTTGTGTTCTTTCAGGCCCTCACAGAATTGGGTGATGCCTTCCCACATTGGGGGAGGGCTCTTCTTTACTCAGTCTATTGATTCACATGCTCCTCTTCCAGAAACTGCTGCATGGACACACCTAGAAACAATTTTACCAGCTATGTGGACATCCATTAGACTGGTCAAGTTGACACCTAGGGACTGGCATTGTGCTGTAGCCAGTAAAGCCACTGCCTGCAACACCAGCATCCCTTATGGACACCAGTTTGTGTCCTGGTCACTCAACTTCTGATCCTGTTCCCTGCTAATGGCCTGTAAAAGAAAAGACAGCAGAAGACAGCCCGAGTGTTTGGGCCCCTGCAACCCACGTGGGAAACCTGGAAGAATCTCCTGTCTTCAGCCTGGCCCAGCCCTGGCCACTGTAGCCATCCAAGGAATAAACAAGCAGATGGAAGATATCTCTGTCTCTCTGTTTCTCTCTCTCTCTGATTCTCTCTGTGTGTTTCCCTCCCTCCCTCCCTCTCTCTCCCCTGTCACCCATAAATCTTTCATATAAATAAATAAATCTTTAAAAAATGACACATAAAATGAACCATCACACTCTCCTATCCAATTCTTCCTCCTTATGGTTTAAGGGGATCTGATCCCCAACCCCTCCAGGATACAGCTAGGTCCATCACCTAAGCCTGTCCAATGAGCCTACTGCCTCTTAAGACACAGCAGTTGTTCAGACATGGGCAGCTGACCAAAGCCAGATCAATGGGAATCCTTCCTAGAGATATTGGGAAAGTGATACTCTTATCTGGCTCTATGTGGCATCTGAGAATAAAGCTCATCTCCAGAAGAGCAGAGTTGAGGGAGGAGAAAGGCAAACAGAGTTCTCTGGCTTTGTTTGAGCACTTGACCTTGACTGATTATAGCAGGGACCTCTGAATTACATGTGGGGAGCAACTGGGACTAGACTAAGTTACTGGAATTAAGACTTATTCTATGCATCTGCTCTCCCACAATATGGCGCTGGGAGAGGAGTACACAACTTTTACACAGCTGCCTCCAGTTCGACCAATAACCTGCAGGAGCTGATCCTGCTCCTGATTGGAGGAGAGCAGCATACTCGGCGTGTGGGTAGCAGAGTTGGGATTGGTGGAAGAGGACTATAAAGGAGGAGAGAGACAACATGCACCAGGAACATCTAAGGGGAACATCCGGATAACATCTGAGCAGCCCCCGAGAGAGCCGGCCGGCGGTGTGCCACTCCCCCGCGGAAGTGGGGAAAGCGGCAGGGGGAACCGCCCTTCCACGGAGGTGGAAGGGTTGGCAGCCAACCCAGGAAGAACCAGCAGCAAACCGGGGAAGGGCCGAGCAGATGAAAGAACAACGCAGGGTCTAGTGTCGTTCCTCCATGAAGAGGGGGAGCGACATTACATGAGCCAGCACTTCTTGTTTTCTTCCCTCTAGCAAATCTGACATAGATTTCTACCACCTAAATCAAAACAGCCACAGCTAGCACTGTAGATGACACTGGTGATGCCAGGAAGTCTGGCAACAGGGCAGCAGTGAGAGTGAAAATTAACAATCCCTCTTGGTCCTATGAATCACGTGCTCCACCTCCAATCCTCCCAGAAGATGCATGATGCAAATACCTTCTGTAACCATCATCATCATGTTCTCATTCACTCTTCCCACTAACGTCTAAGCTCTTCCTGGGGGTCAAGTGAGTTTCTTAACTTTGTTAAACTCTAATCTGGGGATAGACAATCCGCACAAGGAAAGTGAAGGCCTCAGAAGTCTCACACAGGAGTGTAATATCAATATGAAATCCCAAGCTGAAGACATGTTTTTGGCTCTCACAGTCCTCCTGGGAACTGACTACAGACACACGCAAGTACTACAAAGCAATGAAAAATAAAATGGAGATCAGCACAGGCCAGCATTGTGGTAAAGCAGGTTAAGCTGCCACTGGCAACACCAGCATCCCACACCAGAGCTTCAGTTTGAGTCCCAGCTGCTCCGCTTCTGATCCAACTCCCTGCTAATGTTTGGGAAAGTAGCAGATGATGACCCAAGTGCTTGGGCCCCAGCCACCGATGTGGGAAACCCAAATGGAGTTCCTAACTCTTAGCTTCTGCTTGCCCCAGACCTGGCTGTTGCGATCATTTGGGAAGTAAACCAGTGGATAGGAGAATTCTCCCTGTCCCTCTCCCTCTTCTCTCTTCCCTCTTCCCTCTCTCAAATCTTTGGGGGAAAAAAAAGACTGGAGATCAGCACAACTCCACAGGAACACAGGGAAACACCAAGAAGAAAGCAGTTCTCCAGAGAGATCAATGCTCAGGACAAGTTTTACAAAGGAAACCCTGGGTCTGAAACCACAGAGGACTATTACTTGGAAAACAGTTGGGAAATCCCTGCAAACACAGAAATCCATTAAGCAACAACTTGGTGGGGGAGGGGCAGTAAAGAGACAGCAAGTTCTTGGAATTATCCAAGAGGACTGCAGCCAGGAGATGAGAGTTTGGGAAGGCTCAGGGAAGATATAAGTGCAGATTATGAGAGGTTTTGAGAATCCACAGGGGTATGCACTTTTTATCCTTAAGCAATGTGTCCCCACAAACTCTGCAAAGCAGGGACTCCTGTGATCCAGTCGTTCTCCTCACCAAATGAGCTTGCACACCAGGACAGCCTGCAGCCACAGGGCCAGGGACACCACAGATCCCAAGGAATAAACCCCTTGAAGGCACAGCGGGGTTCTAATGCCTAATCTGACTCCTGGGATTACTTTGCAGATTTGAAAGACAAAGTAAATTCTTCAGGAAATGGCATGGAGAATCCTTCACCTTCTGATAATTAAAAATATTTTTCTATGCCTGTTTTAGAATTCCTGTTCTTTAGTGGTTTGAGAAGACCTTGTGCTTCTCATGAGCCTAATTTAGCTGCACCGCTTTTAATGCTGTATTTTTAATTCAATCAACTTTTAAAAATCTAAAGGCATAAATATACATGCAGGAACAAAAAGCTAGTCTCCAGACTCTCCTGGAAGAAAAAAAAATGAACTTTAAAAGATATCTGACAACTCATGCTATGATACAAAGCTATAATTTAATACTAGTAATTATGGTATTGCATCTTGAGTCCAATGAATAGATTTAGATCTCTGGATTGGATATAAAATCATTTAACATGACTTGACAACCCCATGCCTCAGCAACTAATTAATTTTGTTACAGACCACCAATCAATAAGCACGAGACAAACACTAAGTGATGATGACATCACAGCCCACTGATACTGAGACGCTGTGCACTGAAACTTCTAGAAGAGCTGTCGCCTGCATTCCTGCTAGCACTGAAGTCAGCGGAAGTGCCAAATGCAGCAGGGCGGCACCCAGCTGGGGGCTCGCCCTCCGCCCGGACCCCTTGCTTTGGTCATTACATTCTTCCCATCTAATTTCCACCAGCAACCTCCTGTGAGCTTCAGTTGGTTAAGACCTTCCCTCCCCTCAGCAGCCTTCTGAATCTTCCCACAGCACAACTCGGAGGGGGAGTAAATCGAGAAGTATTTTAGAAACTCATGCATTTGGGCCCAGACTCACTCTTGCCCCTGAACCCCTGAGTCTGCGTGGTGGCTCCAAGATCAAGGCCATCATGCCCGGCAGCTGCTGCAGGGAGAGAAAGGGCAGCACCATTGGCAGAATGAGTCCCAGGCTGGGTGGAGAAGGGAAATCAGAGAGCAAGAGAACACGCCTTCTACCTGGAAAACGTATCGTCCTGTTTGTAAAGCACTCACTGAACGTTTAGGTTTAAAAGTAGTCAGCAACTGGGCTTCACGGCTGCAAAGACACAGATTCCAGGGTCAGCACAAAACAGGACCAGGAGTCCAGACTTTATGTGCAGGTCCAATCACAAACGCAGCCTCTGAGCTTACACCGTTCTGTTGAGCAAAACTTCAGCTGCTGAAATGATCAGAACCACAGGGCCCAGGGACCAGGATAAATCCCAGCCGCACCGGCCCGCCCTGAGAGAGTCCCATGCTTTCACTTCCTCACCAGACAATAAATCCCAAAAGGCCAGGGACAACATTCTGTTCATTTTATAACCAAACCCTCCCACTCCCCACGTCCACCCCTTGGTTTCCCGCCCCAGCATACAGCACAGGACTTTACAGAAGCAGTTGGTTCCATCGCAATTTTTATTTTTTGAGGTCTGGCAGGTTTAACAGGAGAGAAAAAGCTGCTTTGTGTAGAGAATTATTAGAAACCATCCCAAGTTTTCAGTTCAGTCCAGGGACTACTGAGCTGCCACAGTTCTGCCATGCATTTGAGATTCCCACAGTTCTACAGCACTAAAAGAAGTCTTACCCTAGAGGAGCTCATCCTGAATGCCCGTGCTCCAGTGAAACCCATCAGATCAGCACCTGGGGTGAGAGATGTTCGTGAAGACGCTGACGAGGAGGCCTTGTGGCCGAAGGGAGAACCCCACCGCCGCTCCCACCCTCACAGAAACAAGGCTTCCCCTCCCCTGTCCGTGGCACTGTGTGCACCTAAACCTATCGGCCACGGCTACGGGAGCGCGGAAGGAAAATCGAGAAGTTTCCACAATAAAGGGACAGGCGCTCAAAGAGCACCTGAGGGAAGCGGCCGATAGAGACGGCACCGGAGTGCGAGGGAGGCCCCGCAGCAGTGCCAACTGCGGTGAGCTGTCGCAGGAACGGAGTGTGGGAGCCCGCGGAGGGAAATGCACGGCCCTCCCGCACCAGCAGCCAGTCAGACAAGGCCCGCGAGGCCGCGCACTGGGAGGCAGCCACGGATACCGAGCTCGCGCCAGCCCCGGGCCTCAGCTGTGCAACGTACAGGAGTCCCGCGGCCGCCGGAAGCAGCCTCGTCCCTCTCAGCCTCACAGGTCGGCGGTTGCCACGCTGCGATCCCGCGGCAAGAGCGATCACCTGACCAGGCCTGGCCAATCAGAAGCCCGGGCGCGGCGGCTCCGCCCCAGCGCCACACCCCCCGGAAGCTCTGTGCGACTTTCTGGAATTCTCGGCTGAGGCCTGGTGGTTTCACTGATGCTGCGTTGGGAAGGATGCAATGGCACACTGCTGGTGGAAGCCCTCCAGGGAAAGCCTGACTGAGAGTAACGATGACCTGGGGAGAAGCGAAGCCCAGCGGAGGGCCCGCCGCTCCTGGCCGGCTTTGCCACGTGCGGGAGCTCCGGGCGAGCGTTTCTCTCTGCACCTTCATCCTCACAGCGCGGGAGCTCCTATTCTACGCGCAGTAAAACCGCCCTAATAAAAACCGGTTAGGAATTTGGATGTCCGTAACTGAAGCATGCCTGTGAAACAACTGGCTCCCCCAAGACGACGGGTCGCATACGTCAGCCTCAAGGTGCTGTGACAGTTAGGTCCCGTGAGGCCCTGAGGATGGGGCACCCGATGGTGGCTTTATGGGAAGAGGAAGGGAGCCCGAAGTGCACTTGCTCCGGCTCAGCCTGGAGGCCTCGGCCAAGTCCTGATACAGCAAGAAGGCCTTCACCGGATGCTGCACAGATGCCTGCACAGAAGTCCTGTTCCTGGACTTCCCAGCGTCTAGAACCTCAAAGTTATTCCTTTATGAGGAACAAGCTTCTGTCCATTTTAAATTACCCGGTATCAGGTACATTGGTATAGCAACAGAAAACTGACAAGACACAAATTAGGTACATGGGTGAAAAAAAGAGGACTTGTAAGGAACACACTAAAAATTCTCAATAGATGCTTACTGAAAAAATAAAATGTTAGGAAAGGCAACAAAGCCAGCTGACTTCCACGTAAAGAAAGGAAAAATGTTCCAGGTTCCAAGGGCCAGAGAAAGGAGTTCATTCAAAAAAAAAATTTTTTTTTTTTTGTGACAGGCAGAGTGGACAGTGAGAGAGAGAGACAGAGAGAAAGGTCTTCCTTTGCCGTTGGTTCACCCTCCAATGGCCGCCGCAGCTGGCACGCTGCAGCCAGCGCACCATGCTGATCCAATGGCAGCAGCCAGGTGCTTCTCCTGGTCTCCCATGGGGTGCAGGGCCCAAGCACTTGGGCCATCCTCCACTGCACTCCCAGGCCACAGCAGAGAGCTGGCCTGGAAGAGGGGCAACCGGGACAGAATCCGGCGCCCCGACCGGGACTAGAACCCGGTGTGCTGGCGCCGCAAGGCGGAGGATTCGCCTAGTGAGCTGCGGCGCCGGCCAGTTCATTCAAAATTAGTCAACATTTATTTAGAAGTGAATCTTGGTAACATGTTCCTCAGGTGAACTATGGTAGCCAAGCAAGGGAGGGTTGTCAAAAGTCTGTCTGCGGGGCCGACGCTGTGGCTCACTTGGTTAATCCTCCGCCTGCGGCGCCAGCATCCCTTATGGACACCAGGTTCTAGTCCCAGTTGCTCCTCTTCCAGTCCAGCTCCCTGCTGTGGTCCAGGAAAGCAGTGGAGGATGGCCCAAGTGCTTGGGCGCCTGCACCCGCGTTGGAAACCAGGAAGAATTACCTGGCTCCTGGCTTCAGATCGGCATAGCTGTGGTCATGGCGGCCATTTGGGGGGTGGACCAACGGAAGGAACACCTTTCTCTCTGTCTCCCTCTCTCTAACTCTATCTGTCAAATAAAAAAAAAGTCTGCTGAGTTTTGACCTGAGCCATGGCCCACCTCATCACCCTCACCCCCACTGTTTAGCAGGCAGATATTTTCTGCTTCTGCAGACTCTTCCTTTCCTTGTCCAGATAAATAACTCCAACCAAGATTCAGCTGATTCTCTGCAGCCTGTTCATAATAGAGAAATGATAACTCTTTCTGTGATACTGGCTCCAGATAAGAGCCCAGTCTTCTCCTCCATGATTGCAAATGCATTAACAATGTCACCAGCTACTTGGAGTTTGAATTTCCAGAGAAACTGAATAATGTCAGCTAGAGGACAGTAACTTGTTCTTTCTTCTCCAAAATACCACCAGTGTGTCTTCTCTTAATTAAAGCAATGACACTTCCGCCAGATAAAATCAAGATTTTAACATTGAATGACATCAGACAGCCTTGCTTCTGATAAACTCATACCAAATCACATTCACACATTTGTTTTTAGATTGTTTTAACTAAAGAAGCTGAGTTAAAATGCACTGCTGTCCTAGGCAGTGTGCAAAAATATTTCAACTCTGATAGTCCAATGAAATGACTTTTACTCAATACCCCAAATCCTATCCCCCCAAATCCCATGAATTGATCCTTGGACTTAGGTTGTTATGTGAAATTTTACTATCATGGGGAAATAGGTGAAAACACTGCATTTAGGTTTCTGTTACTAATAATTTAGTAAGTCTCTCTCTTGGAAATATTCTCTGGGCTGGAAACTTAGGTAAATATTTTATGTCTGAGGATATCACATCTAATCATCATTAAAGAAATATGTTTAGTTCTTAAGAGTGTTGTAAACCTCTGGGAAAACATGGCTGATTGAACTCATATAATAACATAAGTTTCCTCCAAAATAAGTAGAAACATAAGTTTCCACTGTCCACTACCAGGACAGTGATTTGATATTAGAAACATGCACCAAACCACACATTCAGAAAGAGCTGGAGAGTGGCTTGGCCTGAGGGTTCACCAACTTCGCACTAGGGTTACTCAGCGCAGACTGATGCACATGAAATAGAAACCCTGGAAGCAGAGGTGAGAGTACAGCTGAAGTCAGGAGCTCTGGCTCAAAGTCTTCCCCCAGAGAAGTGAGACCCTGAGATGCCCTCCTTCATGCCTGGAGGACTGAAAGGTTATTCTGTGCAGAGATCACAGCGGTAGCCGAGCCACATGGGCCTGGTCTCCATCCTAGAAACAAGGCATTCCAGGAAGTCTGCATATTGAACCCTTGGGAGAGTCTGTTGGTTCCCTCATCAAGGACAGCGGGGCCAATGCCCCCACACAAAAGACGAGAGGATTTCTCCTCCAAGAAAGTTGGAGAAGAGACTCACAGAAAGAAACAATTAGGGAGACCCAGAGAAGACAGTTCATGTGTCCACAGTTAAAGCACCTCCAAGTGTAGCCTTCAGGACATATAGCCAGACCACACCATTCTGGCTAGTCTTGTGGTAGGGTAGCTCACTCTCTAACATAAGATTATGACAATGTCTCCCTCCTTTCACCAAACTTGATTCGAGCTCATCTGAGTCCTTTCCGACGTTGGGCTTCCCTCTCTGTCCTTACAGAATCCAGTTTAAGCAAAAACCTGTGACAGTTAGCTTAGCAAGAATCCCCCCCGCCCCATGCATGTCTTACTGCCCTCAATACCTTATCAGCCTGGCCTGCCTTCATCAAGAATTCTGGCAGGTCAGCCTTCCAAACTCCACCCTCCCATGATGTCTTCTCTTAGAATTTTTCACCTGCTGACCCCATCCCTTCTTCTTGGTTCTGAATCCCACTGGTCCTTGTATTCAAAATCCAGCCGATTTTCTCTCCTCCTACTGCCCTGTCACAGCAGTCACTGTATCTATCACCACTGCTTCCCCTTGAATAGAATCTTCCTTATTCTCTTTACCACATATCATGAATAATTTTTTTAAAAAATTACCACTTGTAAGAAAATCTTCAGTGTTAGTGTTATGGTGCAGTGGGTTAAGCAGCCCCCTGCACCATCCCATATAAGCACCAGTTCCAGTCTCAGCTGCTCTATTTGTGATTCAGCTCCCTGCTAATACACCTGGGAAAATAGCAGGAGATGGCTCAAGTGCTGAGGCCCATAACATCCACTTTGGAGACCCCAGTGAGGTTCCTAGCTCCTGGCCTCAGCCTGGCCCAGCCCTTGCCATTGCAGTCATTAGTGGGATGAACCAGCAGGTGGAAGATCTCTCTCGCTCCCTCACTATAACTCTGCCTTTCAAATAAATAAACAAATCATTAAAAAGAAAATCCCTGATATGAAAAACAAAGCAAAAAACAATCTCAGAAGCATCTAAAGAAATCAAAACAGAACAAAGAGATATCTGTAACAAAACAGCTCATATTAAATCAATCCTCCAAGGACAAGCATCTTTAAAATCAGGATGATTTGTTCAAATGTTGCCGGAGGACAGTGAAGAGAAACCAATGGACTGAGGGACCAAAGGCAAGAAAAAAAGAAAACACATTGTGATGAGTGAGGTAGTTTACTCTTTGTCCTTATTCCTCTGAAACACATGTCAGTTATGAACATCAAATGACAGGCTGAGAAATGAGCAGAAATCACCGCAAAGGGCTTGCAGTGGTCTCACTGAGCTGCAGAAACGAAGAGTTCAAAGTTATGAAAACAGCCAGGATTTTAGTGAAGAAGGTCTTGAAAATAAGAAGCCTTGCAGAGAATTTAGCCCAATATTTTTCTAGACTAAGAATCTAAGCAGAGAGCAGCAACCAAAAGACTAAAAAATATAAAGCAAAATAGAGTTTCAGCAGCCTTGCTGTGTTGCAAAAACAAAAATTGAAGTTCAAGGCCAGCCACGGAAGCCAACCCTGCTATACACACCAGGGTATGCCCTGGAAGGAAGGGAAAGCTAGGGAGACAGCAGACCTCATAAAGACTGAAATATCCTCAAATCATCTCAGTCCCACTGCTCCTGCCAAAAGGAAACTAAATCCTTCCTCAACAAAGATAACACTATCCAGTGGCTCTTAACTTTCTTATATGTCATATCCTGCAGTCCATAAAAATTATTAAGTGTCAAGAAAAAGTAGATAAGAGAAATAGGCTCTGAGTTATTAGATATAGATTTTAAAAGAACTTTGATTAATGTGTTCAGGTGGAGAGTAGAAATGTATCTAAAATTACCAA